ACAACGTGGCTATTACTACGTATGACATTCTCCTGGTTCTGCTTACTTTACTCAGCATCAGTCTGTTGAGGATGGGAGCTAGACCCCAAAAAGGAAAAACCCTGGACTTTCCCACTTGGTGAAATTTCTGGCTTCCCCACAAGGCTATAATCCCATCAACTGGTCTTTCATTGTGGCTATACCCAATCTCCCCTCCATTGTCTTGCCTCCCTATGGCCCCAGGCCACTTCCCACCCTTGGTAACTCTATTACCTCATGGACTACTTGGCCTCTCCTAGATCCCTCCCACAGTCTTTCTGTGTATAAGGTCCATTTTGCCTCCATTAAGATGCTCTGATTCTTAGAATCTAGCCAATAGCCCCTAGATGTTCAGATTCCTTAAGAGTCTAGCTAATATGGCCAATCTTCAATAAACATTGTTTTTGGCTGCAAGAAGGCTTAGGCTGAATTCTTTCAGGCAGGACCTTATCTTTAAAGTCACTGTAAATTGGATATAGGTAGACACACACACACACACACACACACATCTCCTCTATGTATTTATCTATGATAATTTATCTTTTTCTGCCCTGCACAGTAGAATGTTATGTTGTTGTTGTTTTCTTCAAAAGAAGGCAAAGCAAAAAAACAAAAAACAAAAACAAAACAAAAACCCACAGAAATGCTTTCTTCATTCTGGTTATATTTAGCTTCAAGAAATCCGAATACATGAGAAAACAAACCAATGGTTAAGAAATATCTACTTTAAAAAAAAATTCTAGGCATTATATGATACAGACAAGTAATAGGTGATATATGATATAGACAATTAGAACAGTATATAAATAATATATAATACAAGCAGGTAACAATAGAAAGAAAGTTCTATACAAACTGGACACAGAATATATGGAGTCTGGGGTTTTGGTTTTTCTGTAGATAAGCATTGTCATATATTTTGCATTTCAGCAAACTACAATTAATAGCCAGAGGAGTCTATGCTTCCACTCTAAGACCTAGCTCTTACACAATAATAGTACACTTAAGGCTTAACTGCACTCAGTTCTGCTTAGAGCTGAATGCTGAAATCCTCCAGCTATTACACAACTATAATTTTATCTTCCTTATTTTGAGTAGACCTTCCTATGTAATCTTTTGAAACCTACTCCCTCCCCTAAACCCCATTTTACTATTTCATGTTCTTTGACCCCATTGTTCCACCTATGATATTACAGCTACCATACAGGCCCTCTTTGTATGAAAACCCCATGTGAGTCCAACTTACTAACAGTTCTTGGTCTTCAACCAGAGAACATATCCATTGCTCATCTAGACCACCAGCCTGTCCTGTGGGGCAGATGGCTGGGGCAGAATGAAACTCAATCCTTGAATGAATTGCTGTCCATCTGTCCTTCCCCTTCTCTGCTGTGCTTGACTGTCCCATCCTAATGTTGCTTCATGCCATTCACCAAAACTCTGATTTAAAACCGAGATGGAGTTACTTGGATTCAAAGTTAATTAAATTATATTTCAAAATAACACTGAGAAGACTTATAAAACTGATATTCAGTGAATTATAAAGGACCAGGAAAAATACATATAATGCCTTTACAAAAAGATACCAAATGCTATGTAATTGAAATGATCTTTTAAAAAGTAGTATACTCAATTTACAAATCCCATTTCCCTATTTTGTTTACATGTGTTTTCAGAAATACAAATTTTTCTCCCCTCTGGGGATTATTTTAAGCATACCTTGGTATGCTGTCTCACTGCTATTATTCTTTCTCATCTACTTTTAAAAATTTCATAAATAATGGTTTTATCATGATCTTAATAGCCATCACCATCATGAATATTTCCATATAGTAAGGATAGAGGATTGCATATGAAACTGTGACTTTTTTTCTTTTTAGTGGTGGAGCAAGAATAGCTTGAGTCCATTTCAAGGTGGCTCTTGAGCTATCCCTTTTTATATAAAAAGGGTCCCATCTCTGGGACATTGGTAATGCTTCAGTTTTCAAGTTCCCAGGGTTCTAGGGTAATGATCAACTTAATGGGATGCAGGGATCGGACCTCCCCACTTCTTTTCACCACTTAGGAGGCAATGTCTATTTCCTATTGGGACCAGGGTGCTACCTTAAATCCCAAGACTTTCACATGGGCTGACCTGAGCCTTCCTATCATAGTTTTAGAAACAAGATCTTCCCAAAAATTTAGAAAGGAGGGAAGGAAGGAAAGAAGGAAACAAAGATTTATTAAGTCCTTTTCTATTAATGGTTTTTTTTTTTTTTAATTTCTGGATGAAATTGGGGTGAAGTGACTTGCTCAGAGTCACACAGTTAGTGTATGAGGATGGATTTGAATTCAGGTACTCCTGACATCAGGACCAGGGCTCTTTTCTAGTTGTCCCTGACTTTTTTTGTTTTTTAAACAACAGCTTATGTTCTTGTTTTTCGTATATTTTTTATAAAATATACACCAATTTAAACTTACACTACTTTTCTTGCCTTTTTTCCCTTCTGAAATTTCTTCTGCTCTTTCTCTTCTGTGTATTTTTTTTACCTGTTTTGATAGTCTTTTCTTTCTATGCTTCTCTTTTCTTACATCATTTCCACTACCTCAACTTTGCTCCAAAATACCTCCTCAGAAAAATTCTTTCTCATAATAAATAATAGTATTAATACTTGGAATTTATATAATATTTGCAAAGCACTTCACAAAAACCCTGGAAGGATGGAGAAAGTCGTTAGGTGGCTTGCCCTGGACCACACAGCTAGTAAGTGTCTGGGGCAGGATTTGAATTTAGGACTGCCCTACTCGAGTCCGAAATCGATCTATTATGACACTTAGCTTCCTTGAAAGAAGTAAATTCAGGCAAAACAAAATATTGAATTGAATTGGTCAAGCCTAAAAATATATATGTCACTCTCTAGTAATTTATCACAAATGCAAGATTTTTCACCCTATTCAATAATTGCCCTAATTATTCCTATGCACTCAACATAAAATTAAATCAGATACATCTTAGGTACTCCAGTATACCTTATTTGAACAAATCTATGGTATATATTAGTGACTGACATAAACAACAAGGAACCAAAAACATGAATTTGAGTGGACCTAAAACAAGACCTGTGGGAGTGGACCTAAAACATAAATATGTTGGTTGGATTCCAGGACCTGGGGGAACCCAAAATTCCTTGTAGTTATTTACAGGATTTCTGGAGAGTTACTGGTGTCAGGGCCATATTCAGGGTTCAAACAATAGCTAGTCACATAAAGATTTTAAAAGTACAAAAAATAATGTTTTTGAAGCAAGATAATAAAGCATTTCTCACACTAGACGAAGAGGTCACCTCCATGAGAGAGTGGCTTGCCTCTAAATTACTGTATACCCTCTCTCCATGCCACCTCCCCTCTCTAAACAACTGAGCTCTCCCAGTTATGTCTTCCCCAACTCCACCCTCTTGGGCTTTAGAGCCTCATAACTTTATGTGTGGTCCCATTACCCAACCTGAGTACCACACTGCTAAGCTGGCTTGAGGTAAAGGGACAGCAATCAAAAGAGACTTTGTTTTCTTTTATAAGTTTGCATTGATATTTTATTTTTCACCACATTGTCATCACAATTGTATCCTACTTCTCTCTCCCTCTCCCTCTTAAAGATAGTTCTAACGCAGAAATTACACCCCAAGAAAGAGTTGGACGATTGCTGTAGTTAAGAACCTAAGTCAAATTGACCAAGTGTTGGGGGAATCCTTGGGTAGGGAATCTTCGACAGGGGCACGGTATGACTTAGGCCCTGGCAACCGGGCCTCCTGAAAGAAACACCTATGAAAATCTACCCCAAGAAGTCGGAAAGGAGCCCTTCCAGGTACTGACAACTAGGGACACCGCAGCTAAACTTCAGTGCATTGGCTCACTGAGAGCTGCTTCCCAGAGTGAGCAGGCCGTCCCCTTCCCGTGCACACCCTCCTCCCAGCCCCTCTATGCTTAAGAAAGTGAAAGAGGAAACGTTAGTGACGGAGATTAAACTTAAAAGCGTCAGGAGTCCTGGACAGAGTGGGGAGGGAAGCTCACCCTAATCCCCCGCCACACACACCCCTCCCCCCCACTTCCCACTCAAAAAATGGCTTTTTGCCTATTTTAAAACTTTAACTTCGGGTTTCTTTAATCCACGCTGTTCTGCGCGCCCTGGTGGGATGTAAGGAAGGTCTCAGAGCGCAGCAGGGTGTGTTTCGGTTGGTTTTGCCGCCTTGTAAAATTTTTAAATCTTCCTTTCCCTTAGCCCAGGGAGCACCTTTCCCCACCTCCACCCTCCGCGCCAGCCTTCGGGAGAGCGCCTAGAATCTTGCGCTGGCAAGCGATTACCAGGAAAGAACAAAAACGTGCGCGTTGAACCGAACTGAGTGGCTGCAGCTGCCCGAGCCGATCATGAGTTTCAGTTTTGTCCGGGCCGTTGTATCCCCCGCCCCGGCGTTGTCCAGTCTCCCCGCAGCTCTCCGCGAGAATCCAGTTGGGGGGGGGAGGGGTATGAGTAGCAAGTCCCAAGCAAGGGAGGGAGAGGAGATTGCAGAGCCGAGCCTGGGCGAACTCTAGCGGAACCGAGGTGTGTCGGAATCTCCCTCCGGCGCAGGCCAGGAAGAGCAGGGGGCCAAGGGTGCCGAGAGGTTTTTGCAGGCAACAATGTGAGCTAGAGGTAGCTAGAGGGCTAGCTAGGAGCCCTTTAGGCTCCTTTTTGTGCGCGCGGAAGAGCAAAGAAGGGCTTTTCTGCTGCTGCCGCCCTGGTTTAAAAGCCTGAAGCACTGGTAGCTGGCTACCTGGGCGGTGGGCAAAAGACAGAAGCAAGCGGGTCTGGGCAGCAGCTATCACTCCCGCGGACCCGAAGCCGCGACCTCGGCTGCCCAAATGGGCAGTAGACTGGCTTCCCTCCCACACCGCCCCGCCCGGACCTCGGGAGCCAACAGGAGACCTCCTGGGAAAGTCGAGTGCATTTGGCGCGCCAGCTCTCTCGCAGAGACAAGTAGGTGGCTCTTAAAAGAGCCGTTTGTGTATTGAGACGTCAGGCACCCCCAGGTCCCCAGTTTTACTTGGAGCTGGTGTACTTGGTGACGGCCTTGGTGCCCTCGGACACGGCGTGCTTGGCCAGCTCCCCGGGCAGCAGCAGGCGCACGGCCGTCTGGATCTCCCGAGACGTGATGGTGGAGCGCTTGTTGTAATGCGCCAGGCGAGACGCCTCGCCGGCGATGCGCTCGAAGATGTCGTTGACGAAGGAGTTCATGATGCCCATGGCTTTGGAGGAGATGCCAGTGTCAGGGTGAACCTGCTTCAGCACCTTGTACACGTAGATGGAGTAACTCTCTTTGCGGCTACGCTTGCGCTTCTTGCCGTCTTTCTTCTGGGCCTTGGTGACGGCTTTCTTGGAGCCCTTTTTGGGAGCGGGCGCGGACTTCGCGGGTTCAGGCATAGCTGCAGACTGCTTCACCAGATCACTGCGATCAAAACAGAAAATGATGAGGCGAGCGTTGACTTCAGACTATTTGTAGGGCCTATATTCAAATGAGAGATGACGGGGCCCTCTTTCTGATTGGACGTGGCCTGGTAAGTCCGCCCCGGGTGGGAAGGGCATATGTAAATGACAAGATCCCGAATCTGCCTCTCCATTGGCTGGTTCACCCGAAGACGTTTGGAACCAATCGGACGGCGCCGTGTAGCCTACCGCCTTACAGGATAATAGGTTCGATCTTGAGCGGAAGACGCTTCATCTCTCTTGTCTTGCTCTTTCTGAGAAAGTAGCTGTCCATCTTCTTTCTCCACCACCACCATGTCTGGCCGCGGAAAGCAGGGAGGCAAAGCTCGTGCCAAGGCGAAGTCCCGCTCTTCTCGGGCTGGCCTGCAGTTCCCGGTGGGCCGAGTGCACCGCCTGCTCCGCAAAGGCAACTACTCTGAGCGCGTCGGCGCCGGCGCGCCGGTGTACTTGGCCGCCGTCCTCGAGTACCTGACAGCCGAGATCCTGGAGCTGGCGGGCAACGCGGCTCGGGACAACAAAAAGACTCGCATCATCCCTCGCCACCTGCAGCTGGCCATCCGCAACGACGAAGAACTCAACAAGCTGTTGGGCAAGGTGACCATTGCCCAGGGCGGCGTCCTGCCCAACATCCAGGCCGTGCTGCTGCCCAAGAAGACCGAGAGTCACCACAAAGCCAAGGGCAAGTAAGCCAGTACCTTGCTGTGACGGGACAGTCCTGGGAACGAGGGACTCGTCTAGCACGCAGACACCAAAGGCTCTTTTCAGAGCCACCCACACTTTCGAGCAAAAGAGCTGACACACGCGGCGGGTCTGCCCCTGCAAAATCCGGGGTGCTTGTGGGTGCCCATGCTTTTTTCTTGGCTTGACAGCTTCGCAGCTTTGGGCAGAGAAGTCGTAATCCTGTAGCGTCCACAGCCACTCAGTCACCAAGCATTGATTTAACAAACCGGAATCTTTGTTAATTAGAATGGAGGCTAGGCTACCTTCGTCCCTAGATGCCACAGAACTTGAGACCAGAAAGCACTTACTGGGGAGAAGAGAAGAGTTTGTAATGATCGGCCTTTCAGACAGGTCCGACTCAGGCTAATTTTTAGCATACAAGGGGAGTGGGAGTCGTCTAGGAGGATACATGATCGCCAAATTTCAAGTGAAGCAGTTGAAACACTGGGTCTCTCCTGGTTCTCTTCCTACTGGGTTGTTGACTCTTCCTCAGTTTCCCTTGTGCTGCTGGACGAGGGATCATCTGCCTCCGGACCTCTAACTTTGAATTGTCTCTCCAAGAAGGTCCTGGGCGTGTCCCCCACTCTAGTCTACACTCGTCTCCCTTCACACAAGGAACTCTCACACCTACAGAATCCAGCCTTTATCTCTTTCCCTGGGACTCCTAGCTTGCTCACTCCCTGTCCATAAGGGTTCACCGATGACAACTTTGCCAACTCTGGTCTCCCAGCCCCAGCCCCAGCCCCAGCCCACTCTCGCCTTCTCCACCATTTCGCTCCTTTGTCGTCTCCCCCCCCCCCCGTCAGAGGTTCCTGATACCTCTTTTCCCTCTCCTTTAACAAACGCTCCCCACCCCGCCCCCAGTCCAAATTGATTGATTGTCCTCAAAATGTCACCGCAAACAGCATCCCTGTCCTCTGTGGTCCTGCTTCCCGCCAATGCCATCCGTCCTCCAAACAGCTTGGGAAATAATCTTGCTAAAGCCCATTAGGCCACCAGACCTTCAAGTTTCCCTTTTGCCTCTTGCCTAAAACACAGACTTCTTGGTAGTCCACCTCTTTCGGGTCTCTTGGTCGTCACGCAGGTCGTTCTACAGAATCTTTTGAATTCATCTGAAGCTCAGTTTATGTGAAGCCAGACCCGATGGCTCTTAGCAGTTAGCGCTCTTTCCCTCCTGAAATGTCTTTGTATTTCTACAAGCTGTATCCCTCGGGTTCCCGCCTCCTCCCGCTGTAGAATCCGAAAGTGCAAGAAACGTTTTATCTTTTCAATTTTATTTATTATTATTATTTGGTTTTTGCATGGCCAATGTGTAGCCCCACAGTTGATTGGAAAAGGTAGGCGCTTATTAGAATATCCGTGGAATTGATCTGAAGGCATCTGTCAGTTTGCCGGGGTGTGTGTCCACCCAGTCCACTCACGCAAAGAGCAGCTCCCCAGTAAATAAGCAGAGGGCCGACCTGATGATGAGGCTCCCTGAATTTAGCTAGACCACCAGGGCTGACAGGAAACACAACATCAGGTTCGGCGGGACCTACTACCTTCATCTCTCATAGAACACCCCGCCGCCCCCCCCCCCGGCAAAAACAACGAAAACTTAACTTTAGGGTCACCTGCGCAGCCAAAACTGAGCCACAGGAGTACAATAATCTAAAAAAAAAAGTTTGATGTAGAGTATTTTTTGATGTTGAGAAAATCAGGGTTTGGAACACGAAGATCACGGAAGGTGAGCACGGGGGGGGGGGGGGGGAAGGGGGCCGAATTGGAGGGAGAGGAAAGGCAGAGACTCAATTAGGAGAAGTCCTGGAGTTAAAGGCACTCTCTGGGTCTTCCAGGCCAGTGAACGGGCTCCGTACAGGTGGCGGGAATAGAGTCCATAGAATGTTCTAAAAGTGAAAGTCGAACGCAAACTAAAAGAGAGGACTCAGAGACAAACGGACGAACCGATAAAAGAGAAGTCTGTGATCCCGCAAAAAAAAAAAATCCCAAGCTGGAGAGGGCGAAAAGCATTAAAACACGTGAGCGCGTGCCCGCGGTACAAGGGCTGACTTAGGAAGGGGGGTAGGCTAGGGCGTGAGAGGAAATGAGGGGTCCCGGGAAGGGGAGGCAAAAGAACAAAGGCAAGCAAGTAAACTGAGCTCAGAAGGAAGTGGAAGAGAGGGGCGGGATGAGGTTATCCAATGAAATTGCTCGGAATTTCGAGGGCGGGCAGGGTTGACTTTCCACCAATTCATTCTGGCGCAGGGCTTTTGAACGTTCCAATCAGAACGTTCTCGTCGATATAAATATAGGCGAGGGTGGTTGGGTTTTTCCGTAGTTGTTTGGTTGTTGGGAAGTGGAGTTCTCTGCTGTCTTATCATGGCTCGTACGAAGCAGACCGCTCGTAAGTCTACCGGTGGCAAGGCTCCTCGTAAGCAGCTCGCTACGAAGGCTGCCCGTAAGAGCGCGCCGGCTACCGGCGGCGTGAAGAAGCCTCACCGCTACCGGCCCGGCACCGTGGCCCTGCGGGAGATCCGGCGCTACCAGAAGTCGACCGAGCTGCTGATCCGCAAGCTGCCTTTCCAGCGGCTGGTGCGCGAGATCGCGCAGGACTTCAAGACTGACCTGCGCTTCCAGAGCTCGGCCGTCATGGCCTTGCAGGAGGCGAGCGAAGCCTATCTGGTCGGGCTGTTTGAGGACACGAATCTGTGCGCCATCCACGCCAAGCGCGTGACTATCATGCCCAAAGACATCCAGTTGGCTCGCCGCATCCGCGGGGAGAGGGCTTAAAAATCTTAAAAAAAGCTAAACCACCAAAGGCTCTTTTCAGAGCCACCCACTGTTTCGGAAAGAGTAGCTGTATTTTCACGTACGCTAGTTCCCTTTCGAGCAGCACCGTGGCGTAGCGAGTAGAAAACCCGCCATCCGCTTGGTTTTCAACTCCAGCCACTCACCAACTCAAAAAATAGACAACTCCCCTCTCTATGCCCCTTTTCCGGTGTCCTTAATCCCCCCGCCCCGCTTAGGTCTGGCTTTCCCCCGGGGGGGGGGGGCGCCAAGGCAAAAAAGAGGTGGGGCTGTGGGAGGGCGTGCTTTTCTAATAAATGAAACAGGTACAGGTGGGCTAAGCATTCCTTTTTTCTTTTCCCCCTTCCTTTCCCCCCCTGCCTTCTCAGGCTCTGTCGTCACCTTCCCAAGGCCTCCGCCCACCAAGCAGAAGGGACCCAGACACACGGGCATGTTCGTGTTTAGCATCTTTCTTTGAGATCTATGGGGGTGGCTCTGAAAAGAGCCTTTGAGTTTTCATATGAAGAGGCCGGGTAGGGGGCACGGCGGGCGGGAAGAAATGCCTTCACTTCTTGGGCGCCGCCTTCTTGGGCTTAGCTGCCTTAGGCTTGGCCGCTTTGGGCTTGGCCAGCTTGGCCTTAGCCGGGCTTTTAGCCACCTTCTTGGCCTTCGCGGCCTTGGGCTTCTTCGGGCTCTTGGCCGCCTTCTTGGCTCCCACCGCCGCCGGTTTCTTCACCTTCTTGGGCGTCTTCTTCACGCTTTTCTTGCTGGCCGCCGCTCCCGAGGCCTTCTTGGGCTTCTTGGCTGCGGCGCTCGGCTTCTTGGCCTTCGCGGACGCAGCCTTCTTGCCCTTGCCTTTGCCCTCGGCGGCCGGAGCCTTCTTGTTGAGCTTGAAGGAGCCTGACGCGCCGGTACCTTTCGTCTGCACCAAGGTGCCCTTGCTCACCAGGCTCTTCAAGCCCAGCTTGATGCGGCTGTTGTTCTTCTCCACGTCGTAGCCGGCAGCCGCCAGCGCCTTCTTAAGAGCGGCCAGAGACACGCCGCTGCGCTCTTTGGAGGCCTCTACCGCCTTGGTGATCAGCTCCGAGATGGGCGGCCCGGCAGCCTTGCGCCGCGCTCCGCCAGCGCCGGCTGCCTTCTTCGCAGCCTTCTTCTTCACCGGCGTCTTCTCCGCGGGCGCAGGCGCGGGGGCGGCCGGCGGGGCAGGAGCGGTCTCAGACATCCTCTCCACTCGCGGACCACGACAGCCGCAAAGACAGAGAAAAAGACAGGCGCAGAGAGAAGTAAACAAAAACACGACAGCACACAGTCGCCACAGTTGGGCCGACCTGGCCGGGGGATATATATAGAGAAGGGAGCCGCGCTGTGATTGGTGCGCTCTGCCTGCGCAGCCCGCCTTCTCAGTCACCTACAGCCATTCTGCTCTCCTTCGCGGTTGTGTTTCTTGACCCTAAAAAAGGGGGGAAAATACAACAAAACCCCGCACGCAGCCCCCCACTTTCGAGCCAGAACTGAAGGGAGAAGCCTTGGGGTTCACGGCCCGTGCATTTTCTTCGCGCAACCTCAAATCCTAGGCTCCCAGCCTTTCCCAAGCCCCCCAACTACCCGCAAAACTCAGGTCAAATTGAGGCAACTCCCCGTGTTTCCTTTAAATTAGAAAATTGCCGCTTCGCTCCCGGGACACTTTTCTCCCGGGGACGCTTCTGCACACCCTTGGCTTCCCGTCTGTACAAAACAGAAATCATTTCTCGCCACATTTGCACCGAAATCCCATTTCTCCGTGAGGGAAGTAACACAGGCTCTCTAGTGATCCCTGCGTAGGCATCCAGGGGAATGGGCCATTGGAAAGAGGATTGTCTGTCCGGGACCCACGCGTCCTTCGGAAGGCCATCGGGGTCGGGGGCCACTATTCTGGCCTACTCAGGTCTCATCCTGGGATTTTTCCAGCAGACAGACCGGGGAGAAAACCCAGGGTTGGGGCTGGGGTTGGGGTTGGGGGCGGGGCTCTGCACTTCATTTCACTTCTTGTCAACTCCCAACTTTTCCCCAGTGCTCAAGTGCCAGGTACAGGCCTGGGGCACTCGACTCGGGGGATAGGATGGAGAGATTAACCGTAGAGCCTCTGCCTTCGGGAAGTTTACAGTCTAATAGGAAGGAGAGGACACGGTAGCAGAAGAAAAGCAATCCAGATTGTCACGGTTTTAGCAGGCCCCGAACTGCAGCTTTGGGAAACCAGACTGGAAAGTGAGTTTGGAGCCAGATGGTGAAGGACCTTGAAGATCGGGCCTAGATCCTCTAGGCAAATGGGAAGCCATTGAAGGTTTTGTGCATTTTATGCCTTTACACTAGGAAGGAAGGGTGACTCTTCACAACGGGGATGTCAATCCAATGCATCGCAATCCCAATCCACATCTTGCCGAAGTTTACTGGGAAAATTCCTCACAGACATCCCTGTAAAATGAGGCCTGGCTTGTTGGAGAGGGGAGTGACTCAAGTCAGGGGGATCTGTTACCACGTTCTAACAGCACCCCAGCTGTTGCGTTGGCAGTTTGGATTCTATAGGACTAGGCCCCCTGATTGGATGTAAGGGAAGTCAAAGGGGCCTCTGAGGTTTGGGGGAATAGCCCTGCCCCTGTAAAAATCTAACAGGCCTCTCAAGCAACTATTAGGCCCCAGGCCCAGGACTAGGGCACTGGGAGTCAGAGGCAAAAGCAATGCAGTCCCTACCCAACCCCCAGGGGACTTAGATTCTTCTGGGGAAACTGCAGACACAAGAGATGAATTAGAGACTTGAACCAATCCGAATTCTCTCGAGGATTTCACTCAAAAAACTGGCACCTCAAAGGAGAGGTGTCTTGTTATTGTTGTTGCTGTTGTTGCTGCTTTAAAATGTGGCTTCCTTGGTATGTGCCTGTTCCTCCATTCTGCCTGCCTGCACAGCAAATTAACATGAGTTCTCCCACCTTGCCTTTGTCTCCCCCTCCTCTCACCCTGACCTACCAGCACCCAATTTCCTGCTTGAAGTCATCTAGTCCAGGCAACACCTTCATGTCACAGAGAGGAAAAAATGACTTGTCCAGGATCACTGAGGTTGGTATTAAAGTGGTAGAGCCAATAGGATTCCCTTTTTCGGGTCAGGAAACTGAGACAAGCAGCACTTCTTAGGTACTTGTCTCATTTAATCCTCATAACAGCCTGTCACAGTTGAGGAAACTGTGGCAGACTGAGGTCAAGAGACTTGCTCAGGATCACACCTGGTGAGTGTATGAAGCTGTATTTGAACTCAGCTCTTCTTGACTCCCAGCCCATAACTCTATTCGCTGCCCCATCTAGCTGGTATTCTTGACTCTGAATGTGCCAACCCCTGACTCTTTGTCCTGGGGATAACTTTTTTTTTTTTTTTGTAATCTCCCTAAGGTTCAGAATTACTTGCAGGAGAGTTGGGTGGCAATCACTTGAGCCCAGCAACTCATGCCTCATCAGTATCTTCTCACCCTTCCTAGGTTTCGAGGTTCAGCGCTCCTCTCAGAACCTCCATTTTAGGAGGCACCCCTGTCCAGCCATCTCTTCATTTCCCACCCCACTGCACTCTTCTGAATTTCTCCATCCTACCTGGAGCTGGGTATCTTCTCACCCACCTCTCATCTTTCTGCCCCTCTCTCCCCATCCTCACCAACCCCCTCCCCAGTTTTTAGCTACTTGTGTATTATGTTACCCTTTGGTAAAAAAAAAAAAAAAAAAAAGTAAGCTCCTTGAGGGCAGGAATGGTCTTTTGCTCTTTTTGTATCTCCAGAGCTTAGGGCTATGCCTGCCACTTATTAAGCACTTCATAAATGATTGTTGAACGAGTGACTGACCGATGCTTTCACTTTACCTGTGAAATACGGAGAAGAAGAGTGGTTGTGGTTATGTACCAGGCTCTACTACTCGGTTCTAAAGAATTATGTTTTGCCACTAGACCGAGCAGCCAGGTGGCGCAGTGAATAGAGCAGCAGGCCTGAAGTCAGTAAGACCTGAGTTCAAATAGGACTCCAGATGCATATTGGCGCGGTGTCCTGGGCAAGTCACTTAACCCTATTTGCCTCAGTTCCCTCATCTGTAAAAAGGAGCCGCAGAAGGAAATGGCAAACCACTCCACAACCTTTGCCAAGAAGATCTCAAAAGAGGTAAGGAAGAGGCGGACCAGTGTGAAACACGACCGAACAACGATCTGGTAGACTTCGGGTTTTTTGTTTGTTTTCTAGTTAGGGAGTGGGGTGTTTGGATGTGGGTCGGAGCGCTGCAGCTTGCCTTTAATGCCGGCGTTCTTGAACTTTTCTGCCACTATCCCCTTGGGCAGTCCGGAAAGTCTATGCAGGCCTCAGAATTATGTTTTCAAGTGGAGAAAGTAAAATACATAGTATTACCAAGGAAACCGATTATGCAGAAATGCAATTGTTAAAGGTCTTAAAAAAAAAAAGTCAAGGACACCCCACCTCCCTCCGTTAAGAACCCCTGCTTTCAAGTGTAAATAGCATCTAAAGGCAACCTGACCCCCCAAAATCTCCACTACGTAACTCCAACGACTGGAGAGGAAAACTACTTGCACTTCAGAGTATAGCTTGAAGAGGCTGCAGGACTACCCAAACGATGAACTGATTTAAAATCAACATCTATCTACACTTCACAGGAATGGCTTTCAGGAGGATTAAGTCTAAAGTAAAGGGGAAAAAGTAGGGAGAGGAGTACAAGAAATAAATTTGGAGCTCGGGACTCCTGAGAGAAGGTGTTGCATGGAGATCCTCAATAAGTGAGGGAAGAAAGGACTTAAACGGCAAGCTTATTTTGCTAGTGCAAAGCTCTTATCATAGATTTACTGCCACCTTCAATAACGATAACGCAAAGCAGAGGCAACCAAAAAATCCAAAGGAATAAACAGCCCTATAATTGCCACCATAACGTTCCTGAGTTCGTCCTTCCATCCTTCCCTCCGTAACATATTAGAATGAAAGATGAGGAGCGAAGTTTCTTTTCCTGAAAAGAATCATGCTTCGTTCTTTGGAATGAAATAAAAGACAATTGAGAAAAGGGGCGCGCTTGCTCCTCTGGATTGTCTCTCTGCTCCTTCTCGTCCTATGAGAAGGGACCTGAGGCCCAGGGGGGAGGAGGAGCCTCAGAGACAGTTTCCCACCTACCCCCTCTGTGCCCCTCCCCTTGCAGGTCTTCAAAGAGGTCCGCCAGGCCTCTATATAAAACGTCTCGCAGGGGGTGGCTGGATTGTTCTCTTTCAGCGCTTAGGTGGTGTTTTGCAACCATGTCTGGTCGCGGCAAGGGAGGCAAAGGGTTGGGGAAAGGGGGCGCTAAGAGGCACAGGAAGGTGCTGCGCGATAACATCCAGGGCATCACCAAGCCTGCTATCCGCCGTCTAGCTCGGCGAGGGGGCGTGAAGCGAATCTCGGGGCTGATCTACGAGGAGACCCGCGGGGTGCTGAAAGTGTTTCTGGAGAACGTGATCCGTGACGCCGTCACTTACACGGAGCACGCCAAGAGGAAGACTGTCACCGCCATGGACGTGGTCTACGCTCTCAAGCGCCAGGGCCGCACTCTCTACGGCTTTGGCGGCTAAACGTATCTGCGGGTGTCGTGCGTGCGCCGTCCGCTCTTCATTCCCCAAAGGCCCTTTTCAGGGCCGCCCATCTTCTCACTTAAAGGAGCTGTGGTATTTTATTGTTTAATTCTGGGAAGCTGGCTACTTTCTCAAGGCGGAAAGGGGTGAGTTCAACTGTTCACCGTGAGGGTTTGGTTTTGGCGTTTCTTCAGCTTCAGCCTTATTCAGGTTCCGGTTTCTTAGGCATGGGCAAAAAAATGAGCGTGCGGGCCTGGTTATGGGGAAAGGTAATCCAGCTACCACGTTGTAGCGCAAAGAATTTGCATGCCGGTTAACCACTGGCGTCTGGTTGAGCTTGTGGAGATTAACGCATCTCCCTGTGCACGTCAGCCTCGGTTTGCAGCCTTGTTAGTCCCCCACGTGGATTTACGCAATCACATGGAAACATGGCCACTCCTTGGAGGACCTTACTTTCTCTTTACGGGCTAGTTTTCTCTGTACGGGAAAAAAAACACCTCATTTTTAGGGAATGCAAAGGTTCTGACTCTAGCACCTCAAGTTCTACTATTGAATGAAAATGTTTTATTATAGATGTAGTGCTTTCAGATTTGCAAAGTACCTGATGGACACTTCGAACCTCGCTAACTCTCCAGGGCATTCCTGAAGGGGGTAGATGCCATTATCCACATTTGGGGGGTGGGGAAACAGCCCCAAAATGATTACATCACTGGCTCACCGTCGTCCCCAGTGGAATTCTAAGACAAAGCTAGTGCTCTAGCCATTACACCATGCTGCCTCCTCGTGGCTGTGGGTTGGTTGTAAGTTAGGAAACCTCTACCCTGCTTCTGACTGTTATTACTGGCCCATCTGACTTTGAGAAACTCATTTCACCCCCTGGGCCCTCATTTTGTGCAGTGACTGCTAAATCCTATAATCACGCCTTTCAGTGGTTTAACAGAATCAGCATCTCAGGCCTTCACCTTTTGGGGAATTCACTCTCCTCAGACTGATTTTCAGAGCCTCACACTCTCCTTCATCCTCATCTGCAAAATAAAAGGCTTGGATTATACAGCCTCTGAAATCACAGTAGCCTCTACTCCGCCAGCAGCTATAATTAGTTTCCTGCCCTGGTGGACAAGAATGATGCTGGGGCTGTTGGCAAAGAAAGGGCAGGTTGATGGCGGAGAAGACGACATCACCCATAGAAAAGCTTCTGCTCTAGATGCCCAGGAGACAGACATATCCAGGTGGAGATGGCCAGCAGTTCATGTGGCACTGCATTTCACGAGAGAAGTTGGGGTAGGTAACCTCATACCCTTGCAATAGCTCCACTACCCACTTCTGACTAGTCCTTCTTTCTTCCCATTGCCAACATCACCTAGTAGGCTTCTAGCCCTCACCTCCAAGTAGATCTATCTCCATCCATTCTGCCCCCTGGTCCAGACAACCCCCAAGATACCTACTTATGGATAACTGCTTAGAATTCTCCAAGAGCCCCTGGGAAAGGTATACAAATAGTCAGACTTCCAATGTAAATAGATGTTCTTGGTCTCTGAGGGGGAATCCATAACCAGTCATCAAGCCTCCTAGTAACCGATTGACAAATCAATCAGGATTCCCAAACACAATGAAAAGTGACTCTTTTTTACTGCCTTTTAATATGCTTAAAAGCCTCACTGATTAGAAAAATGAAAAGCAAATCTTGTGAATCATCTTGTTCCCTGACAATGTGGAGAGAGAGAGAGAGAGAGAGAGGAGGTCTTGCCACAGTGCAAATGGAAGTAGTCCCCACTCTTACCCACAACCTCATGCTAGAGCCTGTGCAACTGAGCTCCTTGGTTCCTTGTGGAAATGAAGTCCCCAATTTTACCTTCTCCAATAGGGAAGTAGGGATGGGGGAAATTTCAAGTCAGGCAAAACTTACCAAGAATCTTAGTGCCAGGCTGTTGAAGGACTCCTCAAGTTAGACTCCTATCTAGAGCATCCCAGGCCCTATACCACCTTTACTTGCCTCTTTCCCCACCCCCCAACCCCCTTCCACCCCTGCCAAACCCTTACCCAGCCCAGGTCTCAGACCCTGGGAGAGAAAATTGTTACTCCTAAGAGTCAGGCAAAGGGTACTGGTTAGGAAAAATGTTACTGTCCAAAAGATTGGCAGTGCTTTTGCCCAAGGTGCCCTCTGAGAGGTGTGGCTTCCAAGAACAGCCATAGCACAATTTGTTTAACTGACACCTGGGTAAAACTGTCGGCGTTCATGTTGGCTATGCTTTTCTGATTCCTGGTAGCTCCCTCTTCCCTCAGGCACCTTACAACATTGCCCTTTTCTGTTAGCTAAATCTTAGACTACTGTCAAGGGACAGTGCTCTAGTGCTACCCACTCCACAAATCCTTTGGATTATTCCACCCCACATTCTGCTCTCCCTTCTCTGAACATTTGTAACTCTTGTTGTCACTGCTATTCTACCAAGAACCTAATGGTTCTGTTTAAGGTGGGTCTGTCTTGTCACCCCAGTTATGTTTTTTTTTCCTGTTTTTTCATAACATCACTCAGCACTTAATGCCATATTCCACAGGTGGGAGAGTATGACCGGAAAAGGGAGTGGGACCCCTAAGAACTGAAATTGAGAGACATGTTAGAAGAATAAAAAGAAGCCATTCAGCACCCTAGGAAGATCTTGAATGGAGGATTTATGGGAAAATAGGGACAGGAATCAGGATGAAAAAGGGGAGAGAGAGAGAGAGAGTATGTGTGTATTTGAGTGTCTATTGAAGAGAGAGAGAGACTGAGACCTGCTTTTGGTGAATGTGTCACTTAAAGTATCAAGAAAGTGTGAGTTTTCTTTCTGGAACAAAACTGGAACAAAATCTGATTCCAGTGATAGAGACATTAACCAGTACGAAACAGTTTTGGTGATTACAGCTTTGGAGTATAGCAATATTTCTAACATCAATCAACCAATTAACTTATAGTCCTGGCGACCCCCACCTCCAGTTTATTGAATGTTGTTTATTTAATGAATTGAAGAAATCTCTTTTCCTCATCAGAAGTTGCTCACATCTCTCTGTGTATCCAAATCGCCAAACTCCTAAGATTAACTGAATACTAAAGGTACAGGTCATGTAATTTTCATGACATAATCAGTAATAGCATGGAGATCACAATAATCATTTTACAGTGTTTTTAGCTATGAGAATGATCCACAGCCAGAGTCTCCTCTAACTGTCGCTGTAAATACAGATGACCTCTCCCTACTTCTGTAAGCATAGTTCCACCATTCTGTTCACTCAAGGTGCCGGCCAAAGTCTCTCAGAAGAATTTTCGTCAAGCTCTTTGCAAGATAAAAGTTAACAGTTCTATCATCAAAGAATGAAGGTCCTTCCATCTTCTTTGTCTCTGTTGTCTACAGTTTCTCACAAGCCACAGCTCTTAACAGTTAGTCCCTTTCCAGACTCACCCCTCATAGAATTACCTTTTAACACAAGTTGTTCTTCCACCCACCCCCACCCCCAGCTACACACAAACATGGTCATACCCTTCCTTTTCCCATCACCCACAAGTGCACCGTTTCTATGTCCACGAACTCTGAGGTTGCCTTATTTGATCACAATCTATTGTCATGTCACTGATTTTGCCCTGCTACGCCTCAGCCTTAGATCACTCCTACCATCCACTGCCTTAGATGCTGTGCCTGTGCTGCCAGATGTAAGTGGAGAAAAGTCATAAAAACCATGCTGACTGGGTCCACCACAAATTTATGGAGGATCCTCACTGCGGCTAGGCAATCCTTTTATGCCTCCCTAATTAATCCACTGTCTCATTCACCACAGTGGTTCTTCCAAACATTTTCATCCCTCCTGAAACCTCTCGTGGTTTTCCCTCCTCCCACCCTCTCAAACAAGAACTTTTTTGCCTTATATGTTAATAAAAAAGTTGAGGCCTTTTGCTGAGAGTTACCTTTTCTCCCTTTTTCCTCATCTCAAATCCCCCAGTTGCCTTCTGCCGCTATCTCCTCCTTCATCCTTGTCTGATATAATGAGGTGGCCTTTCTCCTTGCCAAGGCCACCCCTCTACCTGCACAAGAGATCCTGTTCCATACTGTCTCCTCCAACAGATTGTCCCCCACTTCCATCATCCCCACTCTCTCACTTATCTTCAGTCTCTCCATGACTACTGGCTGCTTCTTCACTGTCCACATACATGCCCATGTCTCCTTCACCCTCACTTGATCCATCTATCCCTATTGTCTCTTATCTTCCCTGCCTATCGTGACTAAATTCTTCAAGAAGACCTCCAGGTGCCTCCAATGCTTCTCCTCTCATTCTCTTCTTAACTTTCTAGTCTGACTTCTGACCTCACCTACCAACCAAAACTTCTCTCTCCAAAGTACTAATCACCTTCTAATTGCCATATCAGTGGCCTTTTCTGAATCCTTATCCTTCTTGACCCCTCTGCAGCCTTTGCCACCGTGGATCTGTACATTCTCTTTTCTTTTGGTTTTCAAGACACAGCTCTCTCCTAAATCTTCTCCTACCTACCTGATTTCTCCCCAGTCTCCTTTGCTGAATCTTCATCCTTCTCATTCTTGCTAATTATTGATGTCCCACAGGGTTCTGTCCTGGACCCTCTTCTCTTCTCCCTCTACTTTATTTCACTTGGTGAGCTCAGGAGCTCCTGTGGATTCAATTATCATCTTTGTGCTGATGATTGTCAGATCTACATACTCAGCCCTAACCTCTCTGCTGACTTGATTATCACCTCTCCAACTGTCTATTGGTCATCTCAAATTGGAAATTATATAGATATCTCAATCTCATATCTAAAACTGAACTCATCTTTCTCCCCAAATCCCCTGCCTCCTTCCAAACTTCTCTTTATGGTCAAGAGTACCACTGTCCTTCAGGCTTCCAACCCAAATGTTCTGCCTGCCTCCTCACTATCTGTCAACACTCCTCCCATATCCACTATGTTATTAAAGTCTGTTGATTTTACTTTTGTGACATCTCTCAAATATTCCATCT